GCCTCTCCCAGATCGAGGTACCGCAAATATCTCTTGCTAATCCACTTGCCCCTTGATGGGCGCCTTCCTGATTTGGTGCTAATTGTTTTCCCTTCGATTGTGCATAGTTTGTGACTACAGAAATGATATATGTGATGAGTTGACACATAGCACCAATGCGCAAATTCTGCAAGCCTGTTCCTGTTTATTTTTTGTATGGCACAGCCTGATTTTGCGTCTATTTTGTTCGTACTCGTTCCCTATGACGATTGATGAGTAGTTGAGTTCTGTAGTTTTGTATGGATCGTAACGGTGCCTACATTGTCCTGTCCACAGCTTATTTGTGATCTGTTACTGCTAGTACAGCAAAGGCTGCACGTTGTCCACTTCTTGAATGGTTTAGTTGTTGGAGACATGTGTACAATGTAGTTTCGGTGATCCTCTTCGTAGCTTATTTTGTGATCAATCTGCTAATTGTGCAAGGCAGTACCAAGGTCCTTTTTCTTGAATGTTGTAACCTGATAATCTGAGTTGTTGACATGTATATGTTGCAGTTCAATAGGTGATAACCTGATAATCTTTTTCATTTGACATGCAAACATGAATGCCGTTTATAAGTTTCCGCTGATGCCTTGATGAGCTTTAAACTTTAATGCCCTTTTGCATGATTCATGTGTTTATTGCAGTAGGGCAGTGCACTGACTTTGTGAAGGTTCCTGGAAATACTTGTTTCAAATGGCTCAGCAAGCGGATGGCATTTATGATGTGCCGGACGGGCCTCCTTTGATGACTATCAACTTGAAGCTGAGCAGCGAAAATTCCTTTTCAGAAATGCACCGCTCCTACGCAAGCCAGATGGAGCGCCTACGGAAACATCTCAAAAAGAAGTTTAAGACCCTCGTGAAGGGCAAGAGGAAGTTTCATCTCACCCCAGATGGGTTAGCTGTTTTCACGGTTGCATTTACTGATGGTGAAAGGACTGTCAGGGCGATCATTGAAGGAAGGCATATGTGGGTGAGAGGATTCGAAACTACAGATGGACAGGTGTATGAGTTCAAGGAGAAGAACCAGGGACATGAAACAAAGAAGTATATCAAAGGGTCAATTTTACTTTCCCATGGAGGAGGGTATCCCACGCTACTACGTGAAGGCCCTCCACTTGAAAACTTTGAAGTGGGCTATCCTGCTCTAAAAGATATGCTTGATCAGCTATCTCATTTTGATCCAACCAAGTCTTCTGTCAAGTCTCTGCGTGCAATGGCGGCACTGATAATACACACTGCTGAGAGCATAAAGAACAACTTCATCTGCTTAATTGTTCTGAAATCGCTCGATCCAAAGCTGGGTGCAAGGAAACAAGAGTTGACAGATCTGGGAAATGGATACATCCGTAGCTGGGCAAAGATATCAAAGCTAATCCTGAGATATCTTCACATTTCAACCAAGGTTTGGGATGTAAATGAACAGAAAAAGGTTAAAAATGAAGAGTTCTATAAAGTTCCATGCTGGACAAATGATCCCAAGGATGTGCTCAATCATATCATATTCATAAAAAGTGATGAATATCTGGATAGTGTTCTGCATGTACAAGATGGCCAAACACGAACCCTACCAGATGTGCTTCAAGCTTCTATAGGTGTGGTTGTCGTGGGAGGGGTGAACCTTGCCTTAAATTATGCAACAGATATTCCCTGTGTTGCTCAAGTGCTACTGCGAGCAACTTCATTGTCCTCAAATGTCCAGGTCATTGAAGGAGAGTTTCCCATCTACACAGACGGACACATAGACTTGTGTACAATGCATCTGAATTTGAAGAAAAAGGAAGGACATCAAGAGGAAGTGGTTAAGTTAACACTAACAGTGAGTGCTTTGCGACAGGCGACTGCAGATGCAAACCAAGTCCATGATGAGGGTGTGTACTGTAAAACGACTAAAGGATGTGTTAAGGACAGTAAGGTACTCCCTCCCTTCTATTCTCTTTGATGTTTAAGAGTTGCGCACAGTCATTACCACATTAAATTTGTCTCTTTCTATTTATTTATTACTCTAAAAGCACCCGCGATTAGCGGGCAGTGAAAAAGGTTGACTAAAATCTATGAAATAAACAACCTTTATGTTGAATTGTCAGCTAATACTTTTCTTAAATATAGATGAGCACCGCACAACTGGAGCTATATTCAGAAAACAGAGAATTATTCGATAAACTTGTAGACGAAAGAGTTGCGGAATCTCAAGCAGAGTACCCAACGATGGATCCAATGCTGCTGCTATGCAGTAAGAAAGAGTCGCCACTAAACTTACAAGGTAAGACTGTAAAACAATGTATTTGCATCTTGTAGTGTCAATAAAACTTATTAACTGTGCTGATTTCCATGTTCCAGACATTGGTGTTGGGCTGGTGTGCTGATACTACCATGAAAAGCAGCTGAGTTCCAGGCCATTGGTAATTCTTGGAGCCCTTGCTTTGTTGATTTGTCGCCTATGCATGTGTGTGCAGCTGCCTGCCCTTGCTTTGTTGGTTTGTCGCCTATGCATGTGTGCGCAGCTGCCTGAGTGTGGCTCTGTCTTGGTAAATTTTGTATCTGTGGCTCTGTGTGTACTTAATTTACGGTTGCATGTGTTGCTTCACACGAACATTGGGAAGTTATGATACTTTTCTTATGGTGTTTCCCTTTTAGTTGTGATGGGTACGAGCAGAATTGAACTTGTGCCTGCCTGGAGGCGTAGTGAAAGCTGCAGTTCAGATCACCATTTTTCGGTCAACCTATACTTCTTTTGTTTGTGTATTTTTTGAATTTTCTAAAACATATGTGCCTTCTGTTAATACTGTCTGTTGCGTCCTACTATCTCATGTTGTGTGCCCTGACACCATTTCTAGTGCCATCGTCATCTGGTGCTATATTAGGAGAAAAATGGAAACAGCAACTACCTCTGCTTTTATGTTGTTGGTTGGTCTTGATGATTGTCAAACATCATATTGATAAACCAAAAGGTTGTGTTTTCAATCCCTTCTGAAGTACTGAAGATAAAAAAGTTTTGGTGGTGTTTTATTGTCTGTTGCCTACGTTACACTAGCGGAGTTAACACATATTGTTGCATGCTCCACCAGTGTGGCCAGTTGGCCATCATGAAACTTCAAGTTGTTGGTGTGTAACTTCGAATTTGATTTCTTCTATACTGTATATGCGTGTGCTTTGTGCTGACAACTGGTCTTGTGTTTATTGAAAACTTTTTTCTGATCATCGGAAATCTAAGAATGATGGGAATTTGAAGTTCATTTTTAACGGACTTCTCCCTTTATCATGTAAACACCCTTGACCTATGTTAATTTAGTCCGGTTAGTTATGTCTCAGTTGATCAGACTGATTATGTGCATGTGATCAGTTTGTTGGCATACTCTTTTCAAGAGAAAATGGGTTTTCTACGATTGAATATCAATTTTATTGTTTACAGAGCATCATGTACACAGGCACAGAAGTAAGACTAATCTTCATATTGAAAAGGAAAAATGGATGTTATAGATGAGGCCTATCTAGCTTCTTTCATATAGCTGAAGTTTTTTTTTTCTCTTGTAGACAAATCATTTGCCGCTCTTCAATTAAGCAAGACTTTCCACTTATTTGCGTCCCTGCTTCAGTAAATTGCTAATATGCATGTAGTTTGACCATTTACTTATGTATGGGTCATGCATTACTGAATTAGGTACCGCAGCATAAGCTAGCCCATGGCATTTTAGCAAATTCATTATGTGTGATATCTGTTGAGCTTTCTATAAGCAACCATTTGCAGCCAGCAGCAAAAATGCAGTACTTCTTACAGTATGAGTTTGCAATAGAGTCTTTATGTAGCAGCAAATCTCGATTTTTTGTCCTTTGTGCTTTTGATCCTGATGGTTTTTGGCATAGCAATGTTTGTTTACCATCTTGATGCTTATTTGAATCCGTTACAAGTCGCTACTGTACTTGGATTCCCCACAGCCCCAGATTTATGGAACCAGACTGAATTCTGGATTGGATTGTGGTGCAGAATGTACTAGCATAAGACAGCCCCACTGAGAATCATATAACCACATTCTGTTCAACTTGTTAAATGCATATTTCTTCTGTCCGTGCATTCCCTGCTCAGGGCACACATTCATTTGTGTGGCTGAGTTAGATAAACGGCCAAATATCTCTGCAGTTACCTGGTATATGGATTGATACAACTAGGTTTGTGCTCATGAAAAAATCTTCCTCTTGAGGTCTCCAGCTACTCAAGATCATTTTGATGCCTTTGCTCTTTGAACTTGAACTGTGGTCATTCTGTCAGATACTTATGAGCATGTACATTTTTCTTGGTGCAGGCAATTAGATAATGTAAGCTGAAAGAACGAGTATTCCTGAAAGATGATGAGTGCGAAGAAGTGGTCCAGGGGATTTTATTCTCTTGAGAGGATAAATTAGACAATCGTTGCATTTCTTGAATGCCTTGGAAGAACATAGGCCACTGAAAAATCTTGAGTTCTTCAGAGACATGTCTTGGAAAAGATTATGCAACTACTCTCCTGGAAATTTTCTATATGGAGGAGACGTGGAAAAATTAACTGGTGCAGTCTTGGTGACGAGAACTCAACGTTCTTGTATGTTGCTGTAAATTGCCAAGCGAGGAGAAATAAATGAGGTTGCTGGTACATAATGCATCAAGCGCTTTCATATTTAGCAAAAGTTACAAATTGCCACTGTCTCGGGAACCTGTCGGGCTCTCCCCCGCACCGACTACCAACAGTAAATGTCAGTCACCTGTGTCAGTCTCGGTGGTCTATCCGATACAGTCTCTTGGAAGGAGATTGTTAAAAGCGCTCAGGTCCTGATGGATTTACATATGATTTCTTCAAAAACAAGCTGATGTTAAAGAAAGAGGATCTGATATCCCCTCTTTAGAGAGTTCCATGCAAACAAGTTCAACCTAAGGAGGTGTTTGTTTCGGCGAAATCATATTTGCCCGTCACCTGTTTACGCCGTAAAGGAAAAACGTTGCTCGTGTTTGTTTACTCCACGACGTAAACGTATCCCTCTGTAAACGGGTCCGGCCGCCCACCCCTCACCGGTAAGGTCGCGGTATCCTGCCCCACGAGCCCCCTCCTCCCCGCACGACCCCTTCATGCTCTTCCGCCGCCACCGCCTCCCCAATCTCCTTCGAGTTCGGCGCCGGCGCCTCCCCCATCCCCTTCGAGCCCCCCTTCGTCTCCCTCGCAACAACTGCCTTGCCCAACCGGTCATAGTCAACTCCTTCGCCATCAGCCATGGTTGCCTGACGAACAGGAAGAGTTTCAAATCGGAGCAGCCGGCGGCGCTTGAGATCGGATGCGGATGGCAGCGGCGCAGCGCACATGCTCGGGGACAGCCAGTGGTGCAGCGCACAAGATCCGAGCGGCTTGCAGGCTTGATTTCGGAGGCGGCCGGCGGCGTTTGAGATCTTGGCGGCAGGGGCCGAGCAAGAGCAGGCCATCTACGGGAATGATGGTGGCCGGCGGCGTTTGAGATCTTGAGCGGCTGGGGCCGAGCAAGAGCAGGCCATCTACGGGGACGATGGTGGCCGGCGAGCAGCAGGAGCGGCTGGGGCCGAGCAAGAGCAGGCCATCTACGGGGACGATGGTGGCCGGCGAGCAGCAGGAGCGGCTGGGGCCGAGCAAGAGCAGGCCATCTACGGGGACGATGGTGGCCGGCGAGCAGCAGGCGGGCCGAGCAAGAACAGGCCGACGTCAACAGATCCTTCATTGTTTTCACACCAAAGATTGAATGTTTCCTGAGACCGATTT